TAGTGTAAAAATGATTACCTGAGTAGATTGAGAAATGGCTTCATCCAGTGCCACAGCTCGCTTTTTGACATCTTCTTTAATTTGACTGTAAAGAGTGTCAGCTGCCACATACTTCTCCTGGATAGAAAAGCCTTCCTCTGGGCTCAATTCCAGTAACTGCGGCCCAGTTTTGTTCATCTTATCTATATGAGGCTTGTGTTCGGCTATCAACTCTCGTAGTTGCTATAACAAACCAAACAGCTTCTCAGTATCTCAGGATAGCACACCCCATATTACAGCTGTCTACATCCCCAATGCATCCAGCTGACAAGAAACTCTAAACAAACACCCTCCCATCACAAGGCATTTAACCCAGGATGGCTCATACAACTCTTTGACAGGAAAAAAAACAAAAACAAAATGCCCCGATACAAAGATTAAACAACAGTCTGGTCATATCAAAGTTCCTTTAGGGATACACGCAAAAATGTTGGCGGAGTGAAATAATGAATCTTGGTTCATTATGCATTGCATACCATAAGACATTTTGACAAGAGTATTAGCCAAGAGTCATATGACATAAAAGTACTCTGAACTCTGTATGTCCCCAACCTACAGGGACCAAGCCATAACTCTTGGTGTCCCTTTATGCAGTCATGATATATACGGAAATTATTTAAAAGGAAGGAAGGAAGGAAGGAAGGAAGGAAGGAAGGAAGGAAGGAAGGAAGGAAGGGAGGGAGGGAGAAAGGAAGGAAGGAGACAGGAGGGAGGGAAGGGGGGAAGGAATGTCAAAAGGCAGACACAATGCTGACAGGAAAAAAAAAAAGTAAAGACAAAGCTACATGAGGGGGTGTAAGCCCACAAGGTACTGTAATTATATGTAAACCAATATAAAATGTGTGTATATATATATATATATATATATATTACATTATGATATGAATGTATCAATTTAATCTATGTACACTCATATACATATGAATGAATCTATGTGTATTTTATTTTAAAATGTTTAAGACCGCAAGGGTAACCAATCTATCAAATACATAGTTGTACACTGAGTATTACTTGTAAGGTGTATTGAAGGAAACATATTGACATGAATATTTTGCATAATATCATCTAATCAAGAAATCCAATGACATTTATACTAACGAGTGGGTATGAAATCCAAGTTGAGCCCGAGTCCTTCTAGGGAGCCAGGTATATCTACACTCCATGGAACCCAGGCCCTCCATGAGCGGTTTTTCATGGGCCAAATCCAGAACCACTCTCAGGGGTAAGGTTTGTCTTTGCTGGCAGGTTTCTCTGAGGCCGGCCTCCATGGAGCAAGGAGAAGCCTTCCATGTATACCACATTACTCATTTGGTTCCCTAATCAGCAGCTCCTGTCCTCACCAGAAGGTATTCTCCAAACTGTTTGCTGTCTAGCCCCTAATAAAAGCTTCTCTGAGAGATTCAGGAAAGGCAATCTGGAGAAAAGCTACCAATCTTTTCCTGCAAATATTTTCATTTCTATCATTCATCAAGAAGAATCACCAAGTCGGCCACATGTCTGGGTTTTTATTGAAAGTGCCCACTAAAATCAGTCATACATATTATTTTGAAAATTGAGGAAATTGGTTCATTACATCATTAACAATCCTCAATGTAATATACTACTTTTGAAGTCTTTTTGAAGGTGGTCTCAAAACTCTTTATGAAAAGAGCTACATAAATACAAATTCAATTTTTAAAAAAGGACAGGCGCCTAATCTAACACACTACACATAAAATGTGGGAGGGTCCTGTCTGCAATCTAGCTCCTGGGTGGTCCAGGCTGAGATTTTCTTAGTTTTGTTTCCTATTCTTAGATCATATCTTCGGGTTGCTTTACAGAATGGAGGTGGTGATGGTAATATCGACAAATATACAATCTCATGGGAAAGGAATGTGCTCATTTCAATATTCTATAAGGCATGGTTGTAAAGCAAGCTCACACTTTTGAGTTATCAAGAGACTTCAAGTAAAATGAGAGATTTGGGATTTCCTGAGTTGCCGAGAGTTAAGTAGATCTCATCTGTGTAGCACTGCTACGACACTCCTTGCTTGGGAAGTAGTGAAATGAGCCTTTGTAAGACCATTCTATGACAGACAAGAGAACACCTACTAGATGCCTACATGGGTGTATGCGAGCACATGGAGAAAGGGCCTCATTGGAAAGGTCATTTGCCTCATATGCAACAAAATGACTCTTGGCCACATATTACCATAAGAGTCCAGTCATGTTGGAAATACCTGCTGTGACTTCAATATATCTACCATTTGGTAATATGGCTCTTGGAGCCATTTTTTACTCCTGGCTAGAAAGAACTAGAAGATATGCCAAAAATAGCTGAAGAGGATATTGTGACATTTTGGAAGAACTGCCCTTCTAGAAGGTGGGCGAATATTCTGAATAATTTAGCTTGAACAATTTGAAGACTTGGCTACAAAGTTTTGTAGTTCCCTTTATATATAAAATCATAAATTTGTTTTAAAAGCTAAAAAAATATGCAAAAATATAACTTGATTTTGAAATTTTCATTTCAATAATAGTATTTGATGTCATGCTAGAAACATAGCTCCTCAAATCTCACGTCAGAGTAGAAGAAATCCATTAAACATTTTATATTAAAAATCATCCAGTGGGTAGGCATCAGGATTTCTGCCACAAATAAACCTTTATACTACAGTTCAGTTCTACAGTTTGTAAGTCTTTCTCCTACTGAATGATTTAGACAGAACTCCATAAAATTTCCATTTTGTGTTCTCTAAAGTTCTCTTCTAAATAAATACTTCAGTTAGAAATACTCTTCAATGCTAATATATTTAAAAAGGAAACAAACAAGATTAATAACTATGTCACATACTTCAAACAATGATGTAAAATATCCTGAGTTAAAGTACACACACACACACACACACATACACACACACACACACGATTAGTCTCAGAGTACATCTTGTACAGATCTGGGAGAGCAACAAGGGTCACAAGTGCATAAACAGCGAGAACTCCGATTTTTTTCCTGAAAGTCTTGAACCCTCTCTTACTCAAACCCTTGCAAAATTTTAAGTTCTGTTAACATTTAAGTGACTGCTGGAATGGGGGCTTCATAATGCAATTTTACATATATTTAAAATACGATACATTTGTAGATGTAAATATACTGTCTAGTTTATGCCTGAATGCTATTAGGAGCAGAGAACGTCACAAGAGTTCCTTGCATAAGGTGAAGAAAAGGGAAATAGTTTATCTTCACACTGCACCATCTTTCCTTTTATAGAGGTAGCTTTCATGATTATTTTGACATATTTGTTTTATGGCACATTTTCTCTATGCTCAATGGCCTTGTTTGTGTGATGTCACTTTCACATATTTTTACTCTTCCCTTGCAGTCTAAATTACTCTCATCACTATATATAAAGTAGAAAACTTAGTCAACACGTATGAATTGAAAGCAATTCAATATGCATAAATTAAAAGTGCTTCAAAAGCTTACTTCTCTAACATGGTAAATGGAAATCTTGTTTTTGTACCAATGGTTTATACTGCATACTATTCTGTGATATAATTAATGGCATATACAGTGTGGTCTGCCTACTCACTATAAACCTGGATAACACGTAAGCATCATGAGGTAAGCACACTGTACAGAGAAGAGCAGAAAATCCCTGCAACATCCTAATCATGTGAGGTGTCTCACTGCATTAAAGAAACACCATAAAAACAATGATTCTCTTTTAGTGGGAAATACAACATTCTCTTTGACCCCGAGCTTACCCGATGTGCCTCCTGCTGTTGTCTTAGAGTTTCATACTCAAGGGCTGGGGCAGGAAGCTGAGAGATGATTCTTTGTGTTTCTGTCAGCCATGGCCAAAGTTCTTCGTATGTTTCCCAGAACTGGTTAACGAGGGACTGTGCCCGTTCTAGCTGTAGATACCTCTCTGAGTTGATCTGGCAGATGGTGTCATAGTTCTTCAATACCTTGTCCAGTTTTTTCTAGAAATCAAGATGATAAAATGCGTTTAACTGATCAAGCAGGCCAAGCAGCACATGTACATAAGATTGTTTTATCCAGCGCTATACTCCTGGTACAGAGTAGACACTCACTAAGTGTGTGTTAAATGAATAAATCAATAAAAGCTATTCAGGTTTTAATTTTTTCTGTGTATAAAATAGTTTTACATTTTAAAGTAAAAAAAGGCCTTCTAGGTTTATGCAAGTTTTTGCATAGCAGGATTTCCTTCCTTTTTAAGGCTGAATAATATTCCAATGCATGCTAATGTTACATGTTCTTACATTAAGTGTTCTGTATAAAAAAATTATAGATACATATGTAAAAAATAGCAAAAATGTGGAGCATCTTAAAAGCACAATTGGAGATCGGTCTAATAAATCATGATATCTTCCTACAAAGGAATTCTACACAATCATCAAAAATCATGGAATTTAATGACATAGAGAACTTCTCAAAAAAATATTAGGTGACAAATATCCAAATATAAATATATAAATAAGCAAGACCTGAATTTTTTTATTTTTCATATTTTTTTCTTTCTTTTTGGTGTGTGTGTGCGCGTGTGCACGCATGCATGTGTTACAGACTTAATGTTTTATGCATAAGACACTAGGCTTTCTAAATATAATAAGCAAAATTTTCCAGCCATTCTTACATCCTCTAGACTAGAAAACAAGTCTCATGAGTCTAGCAACATTTACACTGCTTTCTCAAAAAAAATAAGGACTACCTCTCACTAATGAAATTATAAGAGGAACTGCTAATTAGAAAAATTAATGACATATATTAGAATCAAACTAGAACCTTCTGCTATCCATTCAATTTTATGGGGTGGTTACAGTGATCAAGATTATGGTATACATTTACATCATAAACTAATGCAGAAGATAAAGCACAAGAGTGATCTAATAAACCACAGAATGACACCGAAATTATTTCATGATTTGTAGTTTACATGTCAGAATTTTTACAAAAACAATAAAGGAAGTATTAAATTATACACAAGTAAATTGCCATTGTAGAGTATAAACAAAAGACAAAGTATCATCATATAATGTACATTCAATTACTTTGTCTATGTTATACCGTAAAAGCAATGCATATTCTTTAAAATTCACATCTGAGGCATAGACATTTGTATAATTTTTTTTTTTTGTCATGAGACAGTTTCCTACTAGAAGTGTTCATTTCTTTAGGCTGTTCAGATGTCTGAATATGAATTGAACTAAACATTTTTACTGTGGCTGGTGTTCTATCAATTGAAAGAATCTTTAAAAAACTACATAAACTGGATACTTCCTTAATTATTCAGTTCATTTTTTTCCCTATGCAGCTTACTGTAACTTTATACAGAATGGATTTCAGCATTAGCGGGAACCACATATTTGGGGTTTTGTTTCAGCTCAAGAGGTTCAAATGTTTCTACAGTCCGTAAACAACAGTTGACATATATAATAACAATTTATACTGATAATAATGGCAATAATACAACTAGCATTAATGAATGCTTATTGTGTGCCAGTTATTCAAGGAATCAAACTTTAATGGCTTTTCTGTATATTAAAAAAGACTGTCCCCAGGGTGATCCCCTTAAGGAATATTCCTTTCACTGTTATTCTGTAAGCTTGAAAAATGCCTTATTGAAACAAATGATTTAGCTGTTTAAATGGCAGTTGTGGATAAAGGAAAAAGTGCTTTTCTAGGACTGAAAGCTCAATACAGGCCATTTATTCAAGAGTGTCACTACCAGTCACAGAGACAAGATTATACCTTCATTGATTGCTTTTCCTCTTCACTGAATGTGGTCATGATTTTATGTCCAGATTTCACAAGTTCATCAATAATATCCTTGTGTCTCAAAATCTCCATGGTGAATGTCTGTGATTTACAAAAATAAAGATTAAAAACAGAGAATGTACGAATGATGTGAAAAAGCATTAGGCAAAGTAGTTGAAAATACCAAGTTATACTAGTGGAGTCTTGCAAAGTAAATCATGCAAGTACGTTTTTTAGACTAGCTAATAATTTAGATGCAATTGGAAATGTGCTTCTTCACCTTTTGAACCTGCAGCTGAGCAGAGGTCTGGTCTTGCTCAAGCCTGATGTCGCCCAGAGACATCAATTTCTTTTCAGTTTCAGTGATCCAGGATAACTCAGCATCAGCTGCTTGGTCAAACTAAACACAAGATAAACAATTAGGTCAGCAAGTTCCTGTCGCCAGTGCCAGAAAAACACCTATCTACATTTCTTTTCAATATCCTTATTACACAAGTGGAAAATCTGAGTTTATCTCTTCATGGCATCCTGAAATAATTAATGATAACGACTGAAGTTATAAAAACTCTCCACGGAGTAATTAAACGCAAGCTCTTAAAGCATGTTGAATCCATAACACAGAATCAATGGCTTTAGGACACTAACACTGTTATTGCCTTCTTTTTGGTAGCTATAAGAATCTTCTCCTTAGGAGTACCATCCAAATTGAGCAGCTATAGAAGTCAACAGCTGGATACCACCTTTCAATCACTTCCTCTATCACTTAAACCCATGTGATACGCAGGTAGCATCCTGCTATCAAAAGGACATGATTCCTAGAATAAAGAATGAAATATCCCTATGTATTTATTACTTATGTGTGTACAAATGTATATGTAAAATATGTCTCTATGCATGCAGTTTATCCCCACATGTCTGTGTAATTTTTTTACCTCTTTTTTAATAGCAGAAAATATTTTGTAGAACATTCTTAAACACTTCAAGAGATTTTATTTTATGATCATCACAGTAATTCGTGGTAGAAAATTCATAAAATACAGAAAAATATAGAGAAGATAATTAAAAACTGGAGTTAATACCATTGGTATTTTAGTGAATTTTCTTCCAGAAGTTGAGAAAGATTTATAAAGGTCTGGGATAACACTGTATAAACCGTTTCATATCCTGCTTTATCATTTACTATACACATTTCCCGAGTCATATTCTTCTAAGTGTGATTTTCAAATAACACCATTGTATTCTAGCATACCTGAATATTTTCATTTAGGCTCTGTGCCTTTTTTTTTTTTTTTTGCTATTGTATAAACAACCCTGTAATGAATAGCCTCGTATAGAAATCTACATTGGCATCTGTAATTAGTTCCTTAGGGCAGATTCCTAGACATCGACTACCAAATCACAGAACATGAGCATATTCAGTACCTCGCATCAGAAGAACCCCAAAGGCTTCATAAATGAGTAAAGTGGGCAAGGGACACCACAAGCACTAATGATAAATGGTAACTAACAATGGCCTCGGTTGGAAGATTTAATAAGGAATGGACATTACGAGTATTCAAATCCAGTACTGCCAGAACTTCTAATTTTTCAAGAGAACCTGGAAATCCATGGAAGTGCGGGGATAACTAGGTGATGGGTGAGGGGTGGAGATAAGCTAGGTCGGAAAATAATTCCTACTTTTAAAACACTATGCAACGTTACGCAGACTCATGGGAAGATGGAGTAGAGGTATGTTTCCTTGTTTCTCTTAGGTACACCTAAAAACCCTCGGTGTTACATATAAAATATACATAAGATGACTCTGAAAGGAAAGAGAAGAGAAGAGAATTGCTGTGGACCTTGTGACCCAAGGAACAACACAGAAGTGAGTTCTCTGGGTTTTCTTCTTGCCTCACATCCCAAGACTGGATACTGGAGAAACTGACAACCTAGAAACACCATCAGGCACAGAAAAAAAAACAAGAAAAGCTTACTCTCTCTAGCCAAAGGACCAGAAAAGGGCAACCTAACAAGAGCGAAACCTTTTTAGACAATAACTACTCTAATCAAACACCACAGGAAAAAAACAAGCTGTGGTCCCACCCACAGTGATACCAAGAAAGGCCGAATGTGGAGCCTAGATTTCCACCCTCATGAGGCTATATAGCAAAGCGCTGATATCCCTGACAGGGTGATGTCAGAGAAGGCCCAGTAGGGAGCTGGAACTTCCATTCCCACCGGCCGATAACAAGATTCCTGGACACAGTATCAATGGAGACCACGTGGCGAGCCGGGATTTCCACTACCATCAAGAAATAAGAGTCTCCCCCTCTCCTCTCTTCTGGGATGGTGTCAGAGAAGGCTGAGAGGCACCAGGGTTTTCACCACTCTTCAGTAGTAACGTGGCCACCTTCACTGTGGTGTCACAGTGAAGGCACTCCCGTTCCCCCACGGCAGATGTGAGAAGTGTCCCCTGTCCCACTTAGGTATCATGAGAGGTTGAGTGGGGAACCTGGGCCTCTAATTCCACCAGGTAGCACTCCCCATGTGCTCTGCTAGAGTGGTGTCACAGAAATCCAGTTAAAACGGAACGTTTAATTAAGACCCAATACACAGAACATAACACCAAGAACGAAGAAAACCTCAAACTGAACTAAAGAAGATAATCAATAGATGCCAATGTCTAAATGACAGAGATGTTATAAGTATCTCTGACAAAGATTTTAAAGCAGCCATGGTCAAAATGCTTCCATGAGCAATTTCAAATATGGATGAAATGAATGAAAAATTAGAAGGCCTCAGCAACAAAATAGAAAGTCTCAGCAAAGAAACAGCATGTATAAAAAACCAAATGGGGGCTGGCCGAGTGGCTCAGTTGGTTAAGAGCTCGCTCAAGAGTTTGAGCTCTGAGCAACAGCGGTTCGAGTCCAGCCCGAGCTGAGCAGCNGGTGGGCTAGAGAACCCAGTATGTAAGGTAGTGAAGTCATTAATGAGGGGAAAAAAAGGCCCTAGGTTTGGTCTTACGAGCATAATACTTTAACCAACTGGTTTAAAAGGCCTGGAGAACGTATGGTTTTTGTATAATGGCACACTTCGTATTTAACTGATTGATTTCACAAACACAGGAAGACATTAACAAGGGATTTATGTACGTGGCCTTTCAAACACGTCATATTTTTCATATACCTTTTCTAAAATCTGTCATACAGATATGCAACTGGACTGTCAGTAAACAGCATGAACATTTAGAATTGTTTTAAAAATAAAGTTCAATTGTTTCCTTATCTTGAAATGATTACCTTTGGCAGATATGTCTTTATCGGTGCCCCCAGATCGAGCAATCATTTCCTCTCCCCTCTTTTTAAGAGTTTCATACAATGGCTGTAGCTTCTCCATGTCTACTGACACGTTCTTGTTTTCACTGATCTGCTCCTTAATCTTCTCCACCTCAGCGGAGATAGCGGGTGGCTGCCTCAAGCGCTCCACAATGCGATCCAGGCTCTCACGGATCTGGTCTATCTTGTCATGGAACTAGTCGTAAAATAAAGGGATCATTTAAGGGGAAAAGATCTGTGACACCAAGTGTGAAATTTAAATTAAAAAAAAACAACACATCTATTTAATGTCACAATTAAGAACTAAATCTTAGTCCCTTTGTTAACAGATCCATCCAAGGAGTTATATCCAGCTGGTGCATCAAGGCATCCTAAAATCACAATTTACATGCACCTCTCTGTGCCATACTACTCAATGTAGACTGGACTGTTTCTTGCAAATAATTGTGTGTATTCATGAAGAAATGGCACACGTTAAAGTACAACTGGACAGCAGCACCTTTATACTGCTTCATCTTCTTATCTTAATTCAAATTAATTTTATATTTTCAGTTCAATAATCTGGGTATTTGTTCTGAACAATCAAAACTGTTTTATTTACTTTTACTGATCATTTTGCAAAGCTAAAAAAAATTATGTCAATACCTGCAAAATTCATGGGCAGTTTTGATTAGATTAAAAGGATTTCTTAAGCTAGGAGTTTTCCTGAACTGAAAACTAAAAATTTAAGCAAAACAAAACCCTCCCGGTGTTGTAATGAAAGCTTGTATTTAATTCATGGTCAAACCTATAATCAAATTCATGAAAGAATTTTAAACTCTTTTTTGCAATGGTGTCATAGACAATGAAGCAGAGTTATAAAAATTTGTTCATTCATAAATTCTACACTATCTTCAACACTATAGGAATAATCACTGGGATTACAGAAAATGGACCACCCTAATGTCAGTACAACTAATAATAAATACCAAACCTTGAAAATGGGAAATCTGTAGGTAATTTCAAATTCATTTTCTCAAAACAGATATCTTCAGAAAAGGAAAAAAATCATTTTTCAACTTTATATTTTTTCCTTCTTACTCAGCCTATCACTCATTCTTTCTCATGGCCTTCCTGTGAGTGTTTTATTAATAATGATAACAACACCTTCTTTTATTTCTCCCAAGGATATTTTACTCTGGATGGACACTTATTTAAATATTTGGACAATGATGACAACTGTTAGGTTTCTTAAGTCACTGAAACTTATTTTTTACTTTATCTGTAAGCAGGCAGAGTAATAAACGAACTGGACTCAAGCAAATATCACCTCTGAGAGATGAAGACATCAATCCTCAGAGATAATGTAGTGAAATAATTTTCGGTGAAATTTAATCAGGAGATTCAGGAAAATGTCCTTCCAAGCTCTGCTGTTGGGAAGAACCCAATCAAATTGCTAGTGTAAAAATGATTACCTGAGTAGATTGAGAAATGGCTTCATCCAGTGCCACAGCTCGCTTTTTGACATCTTCTTTAATTTGACTGTAAAGAG